CAACAATAACAACAATAATAATAACAATAACAACAACAACAACAACAACAACAACAACAACATAGGGGGGTTGAGCGTGCTGGACACGTTGAAGAGCCCGTTCCGGTTCGACGATAGAACGCATCCGTTTCGATTCAGCGACGAGTTCGGGCCAACGGGGATGCCCGTGAGACTGGGCGAGTCCCTGATCCCGAAGGGGGATCCGATGGAGGCGAGGCTGCAAGACATGCTCCGGTACAACATGGACAAGTACGCGTCGCAGAATCTGGACACGTTGCACATAGCGAGGAAGGTGAGGGAGCTGTTGTCGATACACAACATCGGGCAGAGGTTGTTCGCCAAGTACATACTCGGGCTGAGCCAGGGTACGGTGAGCGAGTTGCTGAGCAAACCGAAACCGTGGGACAAACTGACGGAGAAGGGGCGAGACAGCTACAGGAAGATGCACGGGTGGGCGTGCGACGAAAACGCTGTAATGCTGCTTAAATCTCTGATACCGAAGAAAGGTGAGTACAATGAGTACAGGAGAAACATTTGTTTCCACCTCTGTCTCTCTCTCTCTCTCTCTCTCTCTGTCCATACTTCTCCCGCCATGTATTCTTCTTCTTTTTCTTTCTTTTCTCTCTCTCTCTCTCTCTTCGTGTTACTACTATCGAAGTCTGTTTGGAAGAAGAGGATTCGATCGAGAGAGAGGGGGGGAAAAGAGGAGAAAGATAGATGGATAAATAAATGAAAGAAGTTGTTTTTTGGTGTACGATTGCTTTTTGGCTGATCCGATCGAAGAAGAACCTGGAAGAAGAATTTGGAATTAATGATCGCTTCCGTTTTGTTCTTCGATCGTTTGGGAACGATCGAATCATCAACGTGTTCCGGCGATATCGTGTTGTTATTATCTCTGTTCTCGTTATCTCGATATGGCCTCGACCCGTTGATGATGACTGTTCGCTCCAGAGAGAGAAAAAAAAAAAAAAAAGTAAATAAATATCGACGATGGCTCGTTTCGGCTTCGCCTACAATGACAATATGTCCGTTTGAATCTCCTACGAATTCTTTTCTGCCTCGCACTGCCAATAATCTGTTCTGCCGAATCACTAACCTCATCAACCTGTCAGTTTTAACTATTTTTTTTTCGGCTGTCTAATACAAGGGGTGTCAATGGTACTTCTACTTGGCCTAACTTCATCGAAAAAAAAAAAAAAAAGAAAATGGAATATGTATAACAACCGGAGGTCGCATCCCTCTATATGAAAAAGAAAGAAAAAAAAAAAAAAAAAAAGAAAATGGAATATGTATAACAACCGGAGGTCGCATCCCTCTATATGAAAAAGAAAGAAAGAAAGAAAGAAAGAAAGAAAGAAAGAATTAATTGATTAATTATACGAGGTAGCACATGCGTTGGTGACGTCGTGAGCTTTCCATTCCCAATTTCTAGAATTTTTATTTTTTTCTTTTTTCACGATAACAGATTATCTTACGATGCACGATACACATCGTATTAACGTTCGTTAAGAAAGATCGCTTAAAAACTCGCTAGGATATAGGAGGAGGATATTTTAAGTGTGTTTACGAATTTAGACGTTCCAAGCGTTTATAGGGATACTGCGCAACAGGCTGTTCCGCCGACGTTGCCACGTGCCGAGACCGGACTGCAACAAAGGTGTTTCTCGCCCAATAACACGAACGTTCTACAAATATAGAAAAAACGTTCATTCGTTTGCCCAAAGAAACAAGAATTGCCTCGAAGCGTTTGCTTTAAAATTGTATCCCATCCATAAAAATGAAACACATCGATTCGTAATGACACGGTTTACGAGATTACGTTTTTTTTCTTTTAAGAGAGTTATTTATTCGCGATATCTAAGGCAACGATTAATAACAATCGAATGACGCAATTAATTCGATGAAACCAATTTGGAGAAAAAAAGCGATGGTTTGCCGTTAGGCGATAATCTATGGGACAAAGGTCGATCGCGCAATGTAAGGAACGGTTATATGGTGCGTTACGCAAAACAGTTGGAGGATGACGTTCGATTTCGCGTTTAATAGTCTTAATTCGATTATACAGCCAGTTGGCGCCCACAGCTCGTTCGCTCGCTCGCTCGCTTGCTATCGATTGTTCGCTGCGTTTGGCAGCCATATTGTTTGGACTAATAGCTGTTGGGAGTAGGAAACTGGGGATGACTTCTAGGCAAGGGTGCGATACATAAAGGGTTCCAGGGACCCGGAAAGGAAGGAGGAAGGAGGGGCGAGGGACGAAAGGAAACGGGAGGGAGGGGGAAGGGGGGAG